CTTCCTTGCTTTGTGGCGGCTTCTTGGCCTGCTTTCCTCAGGTTTTTCGCCACGTCGCCCTCTCTCCTCCCCTCCCTCTCCTGTCCACTCCGCTACCATATCCAGCCATCGGAACTCCACTCACAACCGTCGCAAATCGACATCCCGAGCCGGCCGAGCCGAGCCGAGCCGAGTCGAGGTTTAGTAGCTTTTTTGGCTGCGTTTTTGGCAATGACAATAACTCGGCTCGGCTGATGATCTATGATGCCTTAGCGTTCCAGCGCTCCGCTCTATCATCTCTGCTACACTGCTTCGCGGCGGCGCTCGCTGGGATTTTGCCAGACACGCTGGGTAGCGCTGCCCAGTATTTGGCGGTTGAGGCATGTGGCTGGGGGAAGAGAGAGGGGGAGTGATTGGTAGGAGGATTGGACGTGGTTGGGGGTGTTGGTTAGTTGTTGCCTAGGCATGACTGAGGCCAGGATAGAGGGGAGGAATGGATTTGTTGGTTAGGAGTTCAGGACGATAAACGGTGATGGTGGTGGGAGGTAATGGGTGCCCCATGCGGCTCTGGAGGCAGGACACCGGAGGGGAGGAAGGGTTCTAGTCAGAAGTTCAAAGCATGAACTGCAGATAGCACTAAAGAGGAAAATAAACCAACTCATTATAAAAAAAGTAAATTAAAAAAAACCTGATTTTGTGAATAAAGGGAAAAAATCAAAATTAAAGAACTGAAGCCTGCAACCAGAAGTAAAGAAAAGCAAAAGCAAACAAAAACTGAGCTTGTGCGAGTAGGATTTTTTTACAATAACCCGCCTTCATTAAGCGGTCCCCGCATCTATGAGGTTTATGCTTAGGTGAAGCTGAGAGCAAATAAGTTCGATAGGATTTACTGAAGCTTATGCGTAGGATAAGCGGGGGCAAATAATTTAACGGAATTTACCGAAACTTATGGTTGGATGAAGTTAGAAACAAATAATTTTGACAGGATTTACTGAAGCTTATACTTAGGTGAAGCGAGGGCAAATAAGTCCAATTGGAATATACAAGAAATGCAGACAATTCCAAAGTGGTGCCTCTTGCAGCCTGTAACTGTGCACAACAGTTATACCTTTGTTTTTTTGTCTTCAAAATCTCACAGGAGCAAAGGCTGACT